TCCATGCACAAACCCAGGACAATAAAACGTTCAGAACTGATAGCACTTGAATAGGCAACAGGCAATAGTTACAGTATCTTTGCTCCTACAGATCTCTGGCAAAGGATTTGGGAACTGTCTCATCTCTTTCTTGCACCATTTTCTTATCTAGGTCTGTTTGCTGTTTACAAGCCTGAAGATGGCTGCTGCTTCTTCCTGCAATGTGGAAGAAGACGAGAGCCTGAAGGGATGTGAACTCTATGTTCAGAAGCACAACATCCAACAGATTTTGAAAGAGTGCATTGTAAACCTTTGCATAGCAAAGCCAGACCGACCCATGAAGTTTCTCAGAGAACACTTTGAAAAATTAGAAAAGGTCAGTGATTTTCAGGTGACTTACAATTTTCGATTTTTAAACTGAAAAAAGATTGTTTAAATCATTTCAAATATTTTGGTACATTTTTCCTTGTACGTTTTAGATTATCAGGCTACTGTTAAAAACAGGCTTGTTAGAAGAAAAAAACCCAACCCTTTATTTGCTGATGTCTACTGTAATATTGGCTGTTGTATAGAATTCTTTGTGCATAACACCAAGATTATAATTTCTTAGTAAACTGCACTTGTTATAAATGACCCAAAGAGTTATGAGCATACTTTGTGTTACATGTTACACGTTTTGTGTTGTTCATGGTGTCCTGAACTCTCATCTGTGGGAAGAACCTGCCTGCAGGAGCAAAAGATGCTGTTCCCTGTTTATTCCAGTGTCAGGTGGTTTTCCCTTCCCCTAAAACTGAACAAAATCAGGAAACCAGCAAGTTCTGAAAACCATCAAACAGTTTGCCATTTACATGTTAAAATGTGCTGTGGTATTTTAGAATATTCTCCACAGCTAGTGGGATTACTTGAGTAGTTGTAGTGGCAGAGTTTGGCTTTACTGATCTAAACACAGTACACGGAATTGACACAGGAAGGCCCTTCCTACCATTGAGAAATTGCATATTCTTTCCTGTAATATTTTATTTCCCAAAGAACAGCAGATACCAGAATTCAGTAGCAGGATGCAAACGCAGGAGCTGATGGAGATCACTTTCTCAGAATGAAAGGAGATGATTTAGTCCAAGGCATGACATTTGGTGAATATCATGCTTAGCACTGGAGGAAGCAGTCTTGCCACTGACTGTATAGCAGCCTGGGAGTTAAGCCTGCAGAGTCTAAAGGCTTTAGGATGCTTCTGAGGTTTTTCCAGCACGGTAATTCTTGTTCCTTCGGCAATTTTCCCAGGAATCTTTGAGGACTTCCTTGAGATAAATTGCACTGTGGAGGATTTTCTGCTGGAGAATAATATTTTGACTTGGTCAGTTGCATAATAACAGTTGAAGGAAGGCTTGTAAATTTACAGAAATAATTTCACTAAGTTTTATCTTGTTTTTAGAAGACACTTGTCATATGGAGGTGCTCTGAAGAATCTTAATTTAATTGTGAATTTAGCAACTGCCTGTTACAGATTTTTGTATGTGAATGAGCAATACACTGATATGGCATGTTGGCTATTAGCTGCTTTAATTTTGGTCTTGTGTAGGGAGAGGAGTGAAAATCTTGGGGTTTAAGCACGATTTGCTAAACAGTCATGGCAGTTTTCCACCTAAGTGTGGTATTTTGGGGTTATTTTTGAAACTCATTAAAAAAAGATAACATATTCCACTGAAGAGAGCAGTAGAATAACAGTGTATCTGTCAAAAATTCATGTGGGCAGTTTAGAGATGCAGTGTGGGATAGTTTTCAAGTGATTAAATAAGGAGCTTATGGAAAATGTGTAGAGCTCGATGCACATCAGTGTACTGGAGCTGTCTCAGAGGTGAAGACAGAAAAAAGTTTATTTCATTTTGCTAATTTTTAATTACGTCTTGTAAAATCAACTCAGAAAATCAAGATTTATCATCACATACAAGATCAGACTAGTTCATAAATGCTTTTCACCTTACTTCTGATGACATCAGGCTTAGGTCCATTGCCTTCAGCCTACATCTATACTGCTGAATGAAAAAGGGCCAGGGACTAACCCCTGACCCCACGACACTAACTGGCCCCAGATATAATTCTTAGGTCTAACACGTCTAGGAGCAGGTTTGTTTTGGCAGGAGTCAGTACGAGCAGCTCGGAACAGAGCCAGGGAATGAGCTAATAGTTGAGGGATGTGGTCTGTCTTGGGCTAGTCAGGCCCATGGCTGGGCCATTTTTTATTTCACAGTATAGACATGGCCTGAGAGGGCTGTAAAGTGAGAACATGAATAAATACTTACGAATAAAGTGCTGGAGATTGAGGTTTGATGCTTGATTCTGCAGGCGTTCTCAGCTGGAGAAGTGCCAATGTTAGAGAGAAACATCTGATGCCTTTTTAAGTTTGCAGCTTATTTGTATCAAGTACAGTATTAAAAATCATGACTCTCAAAATAGTTGTAGGAAAACTTTAATAGATATTCTTCTGTTCACTTAATATTGGCAGGACCTGCTTGTCTGAAGGTGCCAGTAATTGCTGGGAATCAGCCTGAGTTTCTGTACTCTGAAGTTTGTGAGTCGGTTTTTATATGCTGTCACCTACCAACTTCAAAATGACATCTACTCTGACCATGTTAACAGCCACTTTGTAAAAATCTCTAACATTCCATTGAGCACAGAAAAGACTTGAAAACGATTTAAATGTCTGAATTTTTTAAAATTATGTAATGTTTCCTTTTGAACAATTTGTTTTACATGTCCCTGTGACTGTAGAGAACTTGCTGGTGGATGGGTTGAGGAAAACCTTTCCCTTAGGGGTAGTAATTGGCTTTTTTAGAGCAGGGGAATAGATGTTAGCTGAGAAACTGTGGCCTTATTTTAACAACTGTAATTAGGTCCTGTTGAGGACGAAGGAAGGCATAGCAGAAAAAATCAGGGAACCCATCTTTTATCTCTGGTTGTTACCTTACGTAAAAAAAGTTAATTACCGAGAAGTTATAGCTATAGTGTAGTTTTCAGCTATACTGAGACTGCAAAACTTTCATTAGTGTCAGGCTGTTTAGTGCTGTCATTATATGATCAAAGGTGTAGTTGTCTTGCCAGGCTAAGCTGGACTTTGTTCAGCAGAACAAAAATACAAGAAAGAGTAGTACTAATGAAGGAAATGGCACAAAAGAAGGGGAAGCAGCAAGAATTTGCAGGGTATGTTTAGGGGTTACCAAGTACTTCACTGAAGCCATTTTGCATGCAGTGTATTTCCGAGCAGAGGCTTTGCTAGCTGAGCCAGGTGATCTTTGCTGATGTCTTCTGGACCTGAGCTCTCTCCTGGTCCCTTCTATTGCCCTGTGCACACACAAGAAATAGTCTTGCGCACACTGAACGTACTGTCTTGGATTTCTCTGGATTGTCAGTGGTTTTATGGACCCAGTCTGATGCTGCATGTCTTAAGGTACCCTCCAAAAAGAGAGTTTTAGAAAAACCTGGACTCTACTGTCTAATTAAATAAACCAAAATGAGATTATCTGCGTAGCTCCACCTGGTGATATTAGACAGTATTGCACAGAGACCTGGTTAGACAAATAAAGGCATTTGTGGGACAGGTTTGCTGTAAACTAGCACTGAAAAGAAAGTGTGTAGTAAACTACAAATTCATTCACTGTTAGTAAAATACAGTTTATTTATGTATGATAAAGCGTTTCAGACCCAGGAATATTTGAGAATAAATTTAAACATCGGACTTTTCTTCTGCAACGGTAGTTTCTCCCAGTATTTACATTTTGTCACAACAAGAAATATTTTAATCAATAATTTCTACCAGAGTCTGGTCAAAACAATGAAAATCATTCTTATGAGTACAGGTGATTATGCTAAGTATAACTCATTCCTTTAAGAAAAGCTGGGGAGAGGTTGGAAGGAAAGTCCTACAGAGGAGAAACTATCAAAAAATACATGAACTAAGCAGTTTGATAAGGACTAGTAAGATATTTCTGTACCTTTCAAAGCTTGCAGAGCAGTCGGGCAGTGTCTGCTTGGTGGTCAGAAGTGTTGCTCAGGCATGTGGGAACATACCTGAGCAGGTATGCAGCCTGTGCTCCCACCTCTCCTCTGATAATGGTTCCAGAGAGAGCTGGATGACAATCAGCTCAGGTGGGACCTCTGTGATTGCCGTAGACAGCCACAGGCAGTGTTATGAGGGGTGACGGTTTCCTTCAAAAGGAAAATCTAGGTGAATTTTTAAGACCCCTCAGGCAAGCTTTCCTAAATGCAGGAGGTTTAGGGGAGGGTGAAGGATGAGAAAGAGAAGTTTTTTCCTAAGAAACAAAATTGGTGATAAGTGAAGCCATGCTCTTAGGAGCTTTTGCAGAAGATGTTAGAGTGTTGCTGAGTTCCCTGGTTACTTTGTGTGTCTACAAGTCTACAAGCATGAGTAGCTTTCTCCCTCTCGAAGTGAAAACTAACCAAAATAGAGTGCAGTGATGGAATGAGAAGGGAAGTTGGTCTGGATGTCATCTTTGTTTCACATCTCAAGCTATCATGTTTTACATTCATCAGGATACTTAATCCATGTTAATCTCTAAGCATCTCAGTGGCTTCAAAGAAACAGGTTCATGCTTAGCTTTAAACACATGAATGAAATACCTTGCCAAATTCATGTAAAGTTAAAAATAGTGCTGGATGAGGCACTGTCTGATGACAGATTTCACTAGATCACAACAGACTCTGGGGAAGCGCTTGATCCTAACGGGTCTTTAGGCTAGGAATGGGTACAAAACACATTTGCCCCCAGCTGACTGCATCCTTTTATAGGCTCCTAAGCAGGTGTAGGGTCCCTCAAGCCTTATTTTACCAAAACAACTCTTGAAAAAGAGTTTGCCCGGACTTAAATCCTGTCTGTGTTGGAGTCGGTGGCTGCAGAGCCGGCTGAGTACCTACCCTCCTGCTTGTCTGCAGCTCAGCAAATCCTTCACTCGTCTTTTGAGGGTCCAGTCAGACTACATAGCAACTCCTCTCGGACAAGGTAAAACTCCACATTCAGGGATGTGAGCGTTTTGAGGCCGTACTCATGCAATTCCTCCCCATTCTATGTGTTTTACAGTCGTCAGAGCAACAGGCAGGGAGCTCTGACAGCTGCTGACCCTTTCCATTACAACCGGCTGCTTAGCCAGAGCGAGGCAGTAGCTTTTCTGGAAGGCATTAAATTATCTTCAAAATTATTTCCTTTTATTCTTTGAGTTGTAGGAAGTGACTTGAGGAGCAGAGGTAGTTAAGCCTTTTCTGTCTTCCCACAGTAATTATTTTAAGCTGAGGGGCATACCAGATAGGAATGATAGCAAAGATAAAGACTATGTAAAAAATGATACAAATCAAACCGTATTTCCA